GTGGATCTCCTTCACTTGTGTGGTCTGTTACTTATTCCGATTCTACTGTTCTCGTTAAAGTACATTACAATTTCACTGTAGAACACCACGATTGTAACTAACTAGCGGGAAACTATTCTTTAATCCCTGAAGTGAAAGAGGATAAATTTTGTATTGTCTCACCTATAGATTTGTTATATACACTGACTCACAATTTGGTCAAGGAAGGCTCTCACGCTTATTTCACCAGATTATCGAACAAACTAGGAATCTTATTTCAAAGTTAAAAAAGATTTATCATGACAGAAGCAAAAATCACGAGGATATAGAAATAAAAACTGCGTAAAAATTTGTACACTTAATTTCAATGTTGAAAGTATATGAGTGCACACTGAGTCACTGTATCTATTTTTCATGTCCTGTCTCTTCTACTTGCCTAACTCGTGGCTACCCTATTCTACTTGTCTGACTCTAGACTACCCCTACTACTTTCCAGACTCGTGGCAACACCATTCCACTTGCCTGGTCCACTTCCAGTCTCTTCTACTGGTCTGACTTAGGACTTACCCCGCCTACTTTTCCGACTATATACCAACGTGTTTCACTAGTTTGTTGCAGACAGTCGCCTTCGTCCTACCGACGTCGCAGACAATAACTCATAATTTAAACTCGATTCACGTACGAAGATAATATTAATTCGTTCAGCCACCATATTTTTACGTTTTTATCTACAGCTCCAAATTCATAAATCAAAGGAGTAGCGTCACGGATAATTTCACCCAAAATTACACCTCACGACCGAGCAAATACCAAACTCGGGAAAATATTACGACACACCCACTGTGTCAGGTTCAACGACCTGTGTACACGGTCGTTGACGGTGAATAAATAATCAGGAATTTACAGATATATAATCGAAAACTGCGGCTGGTGTCACGTGTAGGAAGGATTTACGAGGTCGGACTCCGAACGAACGAAAATCCCCCGTACTCTGGTCGAAGTTATCGTTAAAACGCACGGCCAAAAAAAAAAAAAATGAACACGAAGTAAATCAACCTGGCCGAAGAGGCGCGACAAGATATACCGGTCTGTCCGTTGGAGATTTACAAGCAATATTTTTCAGCCCAGAGAACGTGAAGCATTTTTGCCGTGCCTTCTACCGCGTCGTCGCGGAGAACCTGTTACGTTTTTTCGTCCGCGACACACCTGTCCCCCGTGCGTGAAATATTTTTCAAATCTGGCCCCCTGTGCCGTTAGATGGCCAATTATTATAGCGACCTTCGGCCAACGAATGTCATAGATGAACGATATCTGTGGCCGTTTCGTCGCCATCGAAATTTGATTGACTGAACACACTGTTGAATTTGTTTCGAAAAAATTTTCTCTCACTGAATGAAATTCAGAATTCGTCGTTTTTATATCCCGCAATGTTTCCCAATTTCCAATAAAATATTTCTCCCTCGATGTTAGGAGGGTTGCGCGTATATCCTCTCTCGCGGCGAAACGGACTCGATAAAAGGTAACTTTTCCAATTTCCCGCGGAATCGTCGGCCGACTACTCCGAGATTCGATGTATATATATATATATACAGGCCGGGGCCTCGAAATCCTTGGCCGGGATGTTAGCTCAGCCCCGGCTAAACCGTCCGGCGAACGTAAACGATAAATTGATGTAGACGCTCCGTATTCCCGTGATTCCCCTCTTAAAAATCTCTTACCCAGAATTTCGGGAGCTCGCCCCCCTCCCTCATTGGACATCCCTGTGAGCGAGATCGGGGTTTCTTCTCTGCACTCACTGAAAGTGATTTTTGACAATGTCCAAGTGGCGTTCCATAACGCATACATTAACGAAACTGTTAAAATACATTTTTTTTTAATTACTTATAACGACATGTTCCTGTCGTTAGTTTGTTCTCGTCAATATATATTGTCGTGGGCAAGTAGAATGAGGTGAAGTTTGGTCAGACAAGTGGAATGTATACTCACTTTTGATTTTCACTGTATATATTCTTCCTAACATAACTTTTGTCCCTTCTTTTCTAATGAATAAAGCAGGATACAGTTCTTACTCAGCGTAGATATAAAGCTGGTAACGATAGCTTATATGGAGAGGTAGAAGAACTCTGTGCTTAGTCAGACAAGAAGAATAATGAAACAGCTTCTACAGTAGTAAGTAGAACGGACAAACAATCTCCAAGCATCTAGTTTACGGTCTATTTTATACACATTACTTTATAGAAATATTCTTCGCTAACGTTTAAACCTTCGTAGCAGTTAAAAATAAACATTTCTTTGAATATTCCACAGTGGCGGTGAAAATAAAAAAGTTATCCGACTTTCGGAACTTGCTCGTAAAAATGAAGTAATTTACGGTCATAAAAAAAAGGGACGTAACTTAATTTCATGCAAATGTAAGGAAGTTTGCACGAAGCCGCCGTAAAACGCGTAAAGTTATAATGAATATTTTAAAATCAAGAGTCGAAAACGTGTCATTTGCAATTTCGTTCGAAATTACAATATAAAACACGGGACCATGATATCGTCGAAATTCTTTTTTCCAAAACAGAATATACAGTTCCTTTGGGTATCTATTTACAATTCAAGGAAGTCTACACAGGAATTGTGAACTTTCGATTGCGCCAAACACCAGAGCTATTCACTATTCTGACAAACAGCTAAGTGGTTCCAGTCTTTACCACAGTTACGAGTCAACAGCTCAGAATAGTAAATCGTTAACGGATGATATTTCCCCGCCCCCTTTCACCCTGGAATTCCGCGCTTGTAAATCCCCGAAGCTTCGAGGGAAGTCTACTAATGATTGTTTCGCGCCGCTTGGCTACGGAGTTCGAATGGAGTATTGATTACTGTGCCCGTAGTTACGTGGGCCTGAATAGTTGACGACTTTGAAGGAGTTATACGCCGATGATTGGACGCGATCTCATGTTTAATATTGATTCCAGACGCAACCGTGAACATCGGGGGCTTCTGCGTCTGACCACTTGCTGATCCGTACTACTTGACGCGAGAGAATAAACCGTGAAATCAGATTAACACTTGCGCGAAGTCTTGCGTCTGACAGACCACTGACCTGTACCACTGGATTATACAATCGTATCAGATTAACGAATTTACAGAACACTAAACTTTCCTCTGAATCCTTTTCCGTGATTGCATCACAAAAAGATCAAGCAAATTGCTTAAGATTTGCGTAAATGTAACTACAGCCCATTGAATCACTAACCTCCGTCAGATTGATATACTATTATATTAGAACCAAGATTATTTGAGATTCCATGGAATATCAATGATAGAATCAGAAAGAGCCAACGAGACAAGAGATTATTCGAAAGAGCAGAGACCGCGAAATAATTACGAAACTTTTGCGAAACGATCTCGAATCCCAGCCCCGGAGCCAAATCTGCTGACTGTGTGTGCCCTGATGTGCCACTCGTGGGATCGAATAACTCAGGAGTTGGTGGAACGTGAAAATTGAAACGAGCTATTAAAGCCGTTAACCAGAAAGACAGCGACACTTTCTGCTCACGGAAAATATCTCTTCTGGCTGGAAAACTCTTTTCGGGACTACGTGTACAAGCCCGTGCATATACGGTCCTCAAGTATCGGGGACGAACCCCGACAGAAAGTTACCGCGACTGTTACCACGAAATCCGCATCGACAATTGTTTTTGTGCGTCCTCTTACATCGTGTTCGTAGTCGGGGATAAAACGGGGTTTTTGTAACTGGGAACTTTTGGTGGACGGTGTACGATCGATATCTGTATGCTCGAGATTCTTTTTGAGAATTATCGATTATTTCAGGTTCTCTGTTTTTCGAGATATAGGTCACACAAACCTGTTCCAACAATTCGAACACTCGACTCTTGACTTTCAGACTTTAATATTTGATTCTGTACACTTTTCTGTTTTGATAATTATAAGTCCTTTTTTTCTTAATAGAACTTCATTCTGTTTTATGGGAAGTCCACCACTGAAGTATTTCGACTAAAGGCTCGCCATCCTCTAAATCTAAATCGAGTCTACTCTAAAGAGAGAAAAATGCAGTCTGAAGCGTTTGAATTCCATCAACTACCTAGAGCGTACATCAAAGTTCGTGAAGGGAAAGTCATGACGGCAAGGTTTCGTTAAAAATTTCGCAGCTCTTTTACCACCTGGAATCCAGCATTCCACGGATATTTAACGTCTTTTGAGGCGGCTGATCACCGGGGCAGCCGCGCTCCGAGGGGAGGAGGGGGTCGATCACCTGCCCGAGTGTCTTTGCCACGATACACCAGGGGCTTGAAGCATGTCCGTAAAGCCTGCTCGTAAAAGTTCGCCAGGCCCCTTTCAACTTCAAAGTGGCGCACGTCTCTAATTTCTACTTTCGTAAGCAATTTTCCGTGACGCCTATTCCATGTTCAAAGTTCAGCCCTGGAACGGTGTAACGTGCTTCATTTACCAGGCCGAGGACCCGTTCGGAACTTTCTCGCCTCGTATTGGTTCGAATTTAAACCTTATTGGTGTTGCAAACCGTTTTTTTATCGGCGTACAGTTTTTACGATTGTAAGAAAACGTGCTGCCTTCTTTTTTCTTAAGTAGAAGCTGCGAATTAGATGTAGAGTCCGACAATATAGAATTGGGTGTAAAGTTAGGCGCGGGGTCAGTAGAGGATTGGGTACACAGTCGAGTATAGAATCAAGCACAAGTTCACGTATAGGGTTAATCTTCTTTTGACTAAATTCTGTGTAAGATTAGGTCAATGTTAGGAAACATTCACGTCCATCCTGAGTTTTTGTTGCATCTATGTTACAACGTTCAATAAATGAAAGCAAAACTGCATAAAATGATGAAATTAAACCCTTCTGTCAAAGGAGGATGAATCCTTTCGACAAGTATTTAAAGTTTTAGTAAAGTTCTGGGTGTCTGAATAAGTTGGATGTAGGTTGTTTTTGAATGATGACTAGGTAATCCAACCGCGTTAATAACCATTTTACCTATTCACATTTCTATTGAAATTTTTTCAGGAGTCGCACACGGGATAAGATGTTACAAATGCGGTCAGTACAACGAGGGAGTCGGCAGTATCACGCCCTGCATCAATTATACCGCTCAAATGCATCTGAAGGACTGTCCACCCTCGGCCGAATGGTGCATCGTAAGTGTCCACCCGTATTCACGTAATTAGAACTTGCGCGAGTGTAACCAATGACCAAATACGGGACGAGCTTGATGCTCGGTGAACTGTAAACGTGGGAGATCGTGACTTCGAGCCTCGAGAAAAAAGCATCGCCGTCTCGGCGCCGACAATCGTTTGACACCCTTCCAAACGAGGAGTGGTAGGGTCTGTAACGAATGACGTTATTTACCCCGTCGGCCCGTGCTATATCCAACAAACGGATTGGCTTCGACGCCTTGCGCAAGCTTGCACGTATTGGCCTAAAATTTTTTTGGCGATCGTAAAAAATCGCTCGAACGTTCCTACCGATTCCTCGGTATCTCCTCAGCCTAAAATAACTCAAAAATTCTGTTTCTCACATTTTACACTAAGTTATCAATTAACGGTTAGCTAAGAATCAATAACGAAACTCGCCCTAGATAGACCAACCCTTTCATCGTGTTTTACCGACAAACAAGAGTCTTGTTTCACTAGTCAGACAGTAGTACGAGTCAGCGGTTGACTAGACAAGTAGAATATGACAGTAATGGGCCATTAATTGGACAAGTACCGTGTGCAAATACGTGTTGAACGTACCGGTTTCGATCATTGTCAGTTTTTAAGTGATGCATATCGCAGTTTGGTCGGACAAGTGGTATATACCATTCATAATCACTGAATCGGACATGTCAATGTTTAAACAACGATTCTGTTTCGCTTGCCCGTCCAGATATCGATCTACACTATTTACATAACAAGGAATAAATTGTCATTCCACTTGTCTGGCTATGCATTTGCATCCACTACTGTGTCATGCGGAAATTCCTCTCCGTTTCATTCGTCTGCATAAAAACAATCCACTTCTACTCGGCCCCGTTCAAAAAGAAACGAACTCTGGTATGTAACCAGTTGGCTGAAAATCAAGGCCGACCAACGACAATATTACACCGAAGACAGCATACAGGGACGTATCCACGGAACGGTGTATTGGACACTCGGACCTCATCTTCCACAAATCACAAAGATATCCTTCGTCGAGGGGAGCAGCGCCTTTTACGCTGATGAAATCCAAGATACACGATTTTATTTTCCCTCTCCACGATGTGCTAATAAGGACAATTCCGTTGCATCTCGATTGAAATTATGAAAGAAGAGATTATTACGTCTCCGATCCGAACATCCACGACCAAAAAGAGACAATAGAGGAGCACCATAAAAATCAGCATAGTTTTTCGCTAGCAGTGATCCTGGGTTCCAAAATAGAATTCCCGGAATATCCTTCAGACTAATGAAAAAGGATTCTCGAAGACTTATTAGTTTTGTCGGGGCAGGGATTATTTTCTTGTGTCCAGCAGCCAGTGAGGGAAAGTTTGGGCAGCAAAGTGATACTTAATTAAAGCAAGACCGAGTCGTAATTGAAAACAGAGGTGTATGTTCAGTCGCCGGCCACGAACTTGTGCCTCTGTCAAGAACTTCCTGTTTGTCGTCCCCCAGGTCGACGTGGATGGACCATACTCGCGAGGCCGGGTCAAAGGGGCGAGCGGGACCGTCGCTTTTGATCCGTCGAGCAGAAAGTCCTCGGACATTTATGCTTCGATATCCAACCGGGGGGGGGGGGGGGGGATAAAGAACCAGAGAGACGGGCAGCGATTTAATTAAATTGACACGAATTCCAGTACGCCGATGAGAATAGAAATCGCAGAGGTAGACGAGTTTTCGTATTGAACGATTCAGGACCGACCGTCTTTCTCGCGTGAAGCTATCCACGTTATTAAATTTTTATTCTTTCGATTCTCCTTCGGGAAGTTAGAGACGGCACCACCCGTGGATTTCGGAAGCTTGTTATTGATAACACCCGTTGATCCCATGATTCCGTGATGGTAATTGATCGTCGACGGTGCTGGATCGAAAGAATCCCTTGGGTGCTCAATTCATAAATACAGTAGACGCTCAAGATTTATGGTAGGATGAAATTAGGAACAGGGATGTGTAACAAGTTTAAGTAATATAAAATTAATTTTGGTTTTAGTGGTTCAAGTAGTGTAAACTTAATTTGCTTCTATTAGTGCCTGCTAGTATCTCGTGTCAAATATTGTCATTGCATCGTACATTATTTTTCACTTACGTGGAATTAAAATGGGAAAGCATACTGTCCCCCTAAGTACAATTAAACGACAGCGCCGCTCTCAAGAACTCCCGGAAGGTCCGGACCGTTAATGGAAGGAAAGTGTCGTTCGAACAAAAATTACCTCCGGAGAAGTGAATCGGCCGATAAAGACACACCGGAGAAACTCTCGGGGAACACCGTATGACGTGGCGACTGCCGCGAACAAATAGCGATTTCTATTCCCGTGTGTACCGAACTGGGCACGAAGTTCCCGTGGAAAACTCACTCGAGAGTTCCCATTTTCTTTGAGGGTGAATTCTACTCGCGACTATCAGCGGAAACTGGAAACCACCACATTTCTGCGGAGCTTAAATAATTACGTTTCCACTTTAGCGCTCGCGGAAAAATTTCTATTTCACGGCGCGAACTTCCCTCAGGAGAGTGGGAAGGGGAGTTAAGAGAAATCTTCTCGGGGTAGAAAAAGCGGGAAAGTTCAGAGGAAAGCCTGTTCACCCCTACCTACTACAGAATTCTCTATGCAATAACGGGGCTCGGTGTGGAAACAAGAATTCTTCTACGCTATTCATTCGACGTTAAATAATTGCGTTCCACGCTCCCGTTGGTTGCACGGCAGCAAAAATCCAACCGCTTTTGGACCGCGGAGAGAGAGACAGAGCATACTTGATGCGCAGTGCCGCGCCACACAAGGCTCAATTTCATTTCAATGATCTCTCGATCCAATACGGACGAGATTTCAGGGTGCACTCGGTTGTTCTGGAGATTGGTTTCCGTTGGAATTATTACCCGTGTATGCACACAGAGTGAATTTAAGGACAGTTGATTAGATTTTTACGAACGATCGAATCGATACGAGTCGATGCTTGGGAGCGAAAGAAAGTTCGTGTTGAACCGAGACACACGTTGCTTTGTATACTACGCTTGTCTATGATCGATCGAGTAGAATATGGCGGTTATTAGTCGGACAAGGGGAGTAGGAGCGTGAATGGTCAGCCAAGTGAGAATACGGATATTCCTAGTCAAAGGGGAAAAGGGCAATCAATGATCGGCCAATTAGAGTGTTATAGTTATCAGATGAGTGAAACAGGATTATTTCAGCTCCGTTGGGTATTATACTCGAGGATCGTTGTACCGGATCGGCATCAATGGAACTGGTCTGTGCTCTGTCAGACAAGTACCTTAGAATCATTATCGTAGTTAGGCCAAGAAGGAGTGAAGTGGTTCTACCTGAAGGAGTATTGTAATGCTTTCCTAGTCTGATTCAGAATACAATTTCGTTCCTCGAACTACAAGTGGTATAGAACAGTCTTAGATCAGGCAACAAGATCCAGAATATGATCGCTGTTACACAAAAACTGATACAATTTTCTTCCGACAGTTCTGGGACTTAGTCAGATAAAATTCACGATTCCTAACCAGCGACGTCAGTAACATCAGTCTCAGGTACATAAGTAGAAAAGTGAAAGACACACTCTTCATACTATAATCCAGTATAGAAAGTTTTTCCTGAACAAGCAAGTAGAATCAGACAAGGGCACCGTTTTAACTTGTGATAACCGACGTTATCTAGTAAAAGCATGAATACATTCATTGCAGCCGAAGCGAATTGCTTTCACCATCCCCCTCGTCCACGATAGAAATATCGAGCCCTCGAGCACAATCGCGATCCCGTAGATCAACGACCAATCTCCTCGATCCAATTCGCCGAACGACACCGTCCCTCCCTACTCTGTATCCCATAGGGTATATGCAGGGAACAGCGTGGTCGTCGCGACAAGCCGATATTACCGGAGCAAAATGTTAATTAATACCTGCCTAACGCGTCGCACTTGGCACTAATTTGAAGGGCACGGTGGAATACCTGCACGGTTGGTGCATTAGTAGGCGGATGGCATACGGCGGGATGTAATAATGCAGTAGCATGCAATGAATACGACTTGCCGTAGGCAGCGAGCCGGGAATTGCCGGTCGAATCGAAGAGGTACTCGCGCGTCACTAGGGGATACAAGCCGGAGGACCCTTTAATTGATGACGATCGTTCGCTCCTTTGAGGCAGAACCACGATCCCAAGACCTCGCCTCCACCCCCTGCCAGGATGAAAATGATAAACAGATTACGTGACTCGATTACCTACCGACCAACGGAGAGAGACTAGCCTCTGAGGGAACCGTCAGGAATTACCCAGCGCGCGATTCTCATTGTGTGTTCTTTGCTAAGTCCTAGGCAATCGATACGCTGGAAATCCCGTGACTGAACGCGTCATAGGGATCATAGGGTAGGCTTGGTGGACGATGAGACAGATGGGTGGATAGATTATCAGCAGCACGATCTGGAGTAATTATCATCATGTAATCGGATTTAGAGGGGTATTGATTCGAGAAATTGTGCATTCAGATTGAGCACGAGCTCCGACGTGGGCTCTGAATTGCTTGACTCTTTCAGCTTCGTTGAAGTTAGCTACAGTTCTTCGATCCTGTGATTCACACATGAACCCTTTAAGTTAGCTCTGAAGAAGATGGGGTCCCAGAAACTAAACTCTACATAAAAACGAAATAATTTCCAATCTTTTACGAAGCATAATTTATTATAGTGTTGGCTAATCGAGCACTGAATTCTGATTCTCGTGCTATAGGTTAGTGACTGACATTCAGTTGTACTTAGACAAGTAGTGTAGATAAATGTTTGGACGGACCTGCGGTGTTTGCCAACGACTGATTGAAGAAAGTAGTACAAGTCAACGAGAACTCAAACAGAACGACGAAGAGTACGTTATTGTCGTGATACGAAGTCGAGTGACTCGAAGAACGTGAACTTCTGAAAATCTCGTCGAAGATTTGTCCAAGAGTTTCAAGGTTTCTCACGGCGACACCCGAGG